ACTTTCAACTCTGGAACCGCAAGAGCTAGGCGGTTGAAATTTTACTATAATGTTCCCCGCCAGCGTGTGACGCGGCAAATTTGAATTCAGCCTTCCCGTACTCGCGGGTAACATGTACAGCCCCGTAATAGTTTTGGCGGGTAAAACCAGTATCTCGGGAACCATGAAAGCTAGGAAGCTGAAATTTTATGAATATGTCCCCTGGCCGTGTGCAACCCTGAAAACTCAAATTTAACCTCCCCGTGCCTACGTGTAACACATGCGGCCTCGTAAAGTTTTGGCGGGTAAAATCATTATCTCAGGAGTCGCGGAGGTTAGGAAGCTGAAACTTTATGGGTATGCCGCTTGACCACATGCAACCCAGAAAATTTAAATTCAGTTTTCCAGTGCGTTTGAGTATCATATAAGTCCTCGTGAAAGTTTTGACGGAAAATTATCTTGGGAACCTGAGAGCTAGGAAGGTGGAATTTCAGGCCGATATTTTCTGCTGTTGCAGGTATTTCTCAAACTCATATTTAACTCCCATGTACGCACAGGCCTTACGTAAGACCATGTGAAAATTACTAGCTCGGAAACCGAAAAACTAGAAGGTTGAAATTTGGAAGGATGTTTCACATTCACTTTCACGTACCAGCACGTGAAATTTTCATTGGGAAATTCCTCACCTTAACAGCCAGACGGAGCATATCTACTACTTTTCCATATACTAAAGTGTAAAACAGTTATATTTTTAGTAAGCAAACGTCTGCTGGACGGAACTGCACAAAACGCATGATTGCACCGGCTGCCCTGGTGCGCGTCGCTATTTGTTCTTTTTTTGTGCGTTTTTTGCAGCAATGCAATGCGAAAAATGCATATTGACGAGAGGTTGTCTGTGTGTGTGTGTCTGTGTGTGCGCTGCGCATCTGTACCGATTTTTCATCTCGAGACTGGCAAAAGCTACGGGGCTGAAACTTTGGGGACTTAATCTGCATGCACGTACGGCCCCCTATCCCCAAAATGGGCGGTCTTTCCCGCGTGGTACCCCCGTGACCCCGCCAAAGTTTTTTGCGGGTTAGCTGCTAACTCGCGAACTAGAAAAGCTAGAGAGCTGAAATTCTACGGGAATGTTCCCCGCCCAAGTAGGTGCTAATGAGCTCAAATCCAGCTCCCGAGTAAGCGTGGTACCCGCGCACGGGCCCCCAAAATTTTTCCCGCGTAAATTCATAACTCGGGGTTCTG